CTGAAGGCCTGCAGCGGCGTATCGAACGGCAGTCCGCCGTCTGCGTCAGCCGCAGCCATCGATGTCGCCTCCCACTGGGTCAGACGCTCGATGTGCTTCGTCTCGAACTCGCAGCGCAGCTCCTCGTTCTCCAATATCTTCGTGGTGGGCTTGATGCGTCGCTTCGAACGCTTGGGCAGCTGCTGCTGCTGCTGCTCGGCACCGCCCGAGGATAGCGCCGATGCAGCACGCTTGCTGCCATTGGACAGCCCCAGCGTGGCAGCAGCAGAGTTGTTTGTGGCATGAACATTTCCGTTGCCGCTGCTGCTAGCGCCGGCTGCAGCTTGTGGCACGCTCTGTCCGCTGACATTGGGTGGCACGGGTATTTTGGCTTTGCGCCCGCGCTTCTTGGGCGTCTTCTCGTCCAACACCACGGCCATGGGCATATGGTCAACAGCTGCTGCTCCTCCTCCCGCAGCTCCTGCGCCTGCGCCTGCTCCCGCCTGGTGTATGGGCAGCTCACTGGCCGGCAGTGGCTCCGACTTGATCTCGTCGGCCCAGGCCTGCGCTTGATCCACACGATTGCCCAGCCGCACGCTGCGTCGCATGCGTTTGCCATCGCCAGTGGGCGCCGCTGCCTCCTCCTCCTGCTGCTCGGTCTTGATGCTCAGCGCAGGCACGTCTGGCATCAGCGGATCTTCCTCGTGCAACTTGCGTTTGCGTCCCACTTTGCGCTCCACTGCAGCGGCCTCCTCTGGCAGTGGGGCCTCCTCCAACGGCAGCTCGGCCTCGGGCTTGATCTTCTTGGCACGTCCACGACCGCGCTTAGGAGGGGGCGGCGGTGCAGCATTTGCGCTGCTGCTGTTGCTGGCCTCGCCCTCATTGAGACTTGGCAACTTTTCAGGCTCCTTTTTTACATCACTGGAAGTTTCCTCCTCTTGTTCCGGTTCATGCTCTTGCTGCTCGTGCTCATGCTCCAGCTCCGGCGGCTCTTGCTCTTCAGTCGCCAAGGGCGTTGGCGTCGTTGTGGGCGTGTCTGTGGGCCGCGGCGTACGACGCAAGCGACGCGTGCTTGGCGGAATGGGTTGTCCCTGCAGAAGAAAAGACCGTGAAGATAACGGATTAGAGCAAGTGGCAAATGGTAAAAACAACAGGTGCTAATTGGTCTACCGCACACACACACACACACACACACGCAGATAGACTCACGCCACCATCAAGTTAAAACTTTCCTTGTATTTCATTTGAATCAACAAAAACTTATATTCGATAATCTTCAGAGCAAATATATTTATGTTGACAAAAAAATAAATATATTTGAGAAGTGCTCTCGTTCGCCTTCTCTGTCGCACTAAGCATACAGACATATATATGTGAATGATTATTTTGGGTCCTGAATCGTGCACACATCTAAGCAGGCTCTTCCCTTCCATTTGGCTAGTCGTGTGCGGTTGCTGTTGGCAACGGTTCTTACAAAACACTGCCAGCACCTGCCCGAGGAGGAGAGCTGGCTTGGGGGTGTACAACCCCCGGCACTGGCAATGGCTACCTGCAGCCCCTAGTCCCAGTCCGCCGTGATATCTCGGATGCTTGCTCATTAAAGCAAAAGCAAAAGCAAAAGCAAAAGTCTCTTCAAATTTCATGTTACAAATTACACTCGGCCCTCATTAAGTGGCACCGATAGTACATACATGCATATATGTATATTGACATAAATATATACAATTTATAAGTATATATATATATATTTCAATTTAACTTCTGATTAATTGATTATTGCTTTTTATTTATTGGAAAACTGAAATTGAATATTCTTTTTCTTGCTGCAATTTAATATATTTGAAATATTAAATGATGTTTATTGTCATAGGCCATGTTCGAAATAAAACGCCGCTTAAAAATGGCTTTCGATTGGGCATCGCAGTTTTTAAGAAAAACGAGTTTAAGAGCCAGGCAAACGACTTCTATAAAAAAACGCACACACACACACACAAATTTTAAAGACCACATTTAAGCGTAGTTTTAACACCTGACTTTTTTTTTTTTTGGTATTACATACAGGTATTTCAGAATATATATATTTAATATATTTTAGAGGTTTGTTTACCTTAACATATACATACATAAATATATTTAGCTCACTAATAAAGTGATCGATAATTCGGTGATATTTCATGTTATCGAAATCCTAATAGTTCAGTGTATGTGTGTAAATGTACATGTATTTAGTTAAACAATGTTTTTATCTTGCATTTAACATAATCTTTTTATTTTATTTATTTATTTATTTATCAATTGCTTATAAAAATAAAACCAACATCAATCTAGTCATGGCTAATTTCTTATCAAGTACCGAAGCTCTCAGTATAATTGTGATATAGCCAACTTACTGGAGTATATAAAACTGGTGTTTATTTAAACAAAAATATGTATTAATTTATTCATTTTTGCACATGCACATGTACATACATATGTATGTACATATATGTAAATAGTCTGTGAAAAGGCATTGATTATCAACACTACAATAAGAATCTGATTAAATAGTCATTTTAAAATGATTTATCATTATTTTCTGCTCTTAAATATGTATGTATGTATGTTTTGCAGAAACCAAAGTAATGAAGGACTGGCTGCACGTACATACATATATAAACATACATACATACATCACTATTATTTCGATCATCAATGGCCGCTGAAATGCCAAGGGAAATCCCGTTCTTTTTTGGCTCCCTTCCCCCTTTCTATATCGTGCTTAAACGAGTTGCTAGTGCTGCCCAATTCTGTTCAATTGTCGCAGAGTAAAACGGAAAGTGAATCAAACTACAAAATGAAAAGAATTCGAGACTTCACTAATACACACGCACACACTCACACACTTACATTTTCACTCACACAATACAGTCACATACGCATATGCATGCAAAAGCACACGCGCATAAAAACGAATACACTTACGTTTTTATCAGCATTAACTTGTGCTTGCCCTGTTGTTGTTGTTACTGTTGTTATTGTTGTTATTGGCACAGCAATGTCGACGCTGTCAGCAGCAGCAGCAGCAGCAGCAGCACCAGCTGCCGCATTCGTATCTGTTGCGTCAGCAGCGGCGTCAATAATGTCGACGGTGCTGCCGCTGCTGCTGCTGTTGTCGGCAGAAGAGCTGACAACAAGTGGAGCGACAGGCACTAGGGATGCCGTTACCGTTGCCGAAGATGCTGCGACTGTAGCCGATGTGACCTCGGCTATTGCGTCTGTTGTTACAGCTGCCGCTGCCGTTAGCGCTGCTGCTGGTGCTGCTCTATCTGAGCTTACTTTGTGCTGCGCGGTCAATGTTTGTTCCTGCAGCGAAGTTGGCAACGGCTGTTGTTCTTGTTTCTTCTCTGAAAGCTCTTCTTCTTCCTCTTTGGCTGTTGCATTTGTGGTTTCCGTCTCAGTCTCAGTCTTAATGCCATCACCAGATGAGGCTGCTGCTTCTGCTGATGTTGTTGATACGGCTTCAGCTGCAGCGAAAATTTGCGTAGCCGACGTTGCCAACGTAGCCTCAGTCGCTGTTGCTATTGTTGCGTTCTCTACAGCGCTTTTGCACGCTTCCTGCTCCAATTTGACTGTCGGTGCGTCTTCTTTTTCAATGCCTTTAGCTGGCTCGGCTGCGCGCTCAGCAACGCTAACGCCAACGTCAACACCAACATCAATATTATTACCGTTTTCACTGTCGGCTGCTGCTGCCGACACCGCTGCTGGCGTTTCGTTAGGCGGCGGCGTCTCTGCGGCTGATTTTGATTCCGTCTCGTCTGCTTCTGCCGACGTAATTTTGTCTGTTATTTCTGCACGGACGACGCCGCTGTCGTTGTTCTCGTTGACGTCGACGTTAGCGCTAGCGTCAGCGTCCACATCGCTGGCCTGACTTTGGCTTTGGCTCTGGCCTTGAGGCTGCTGCTGGGCGCCGTCCACAGTTTCCGTCTCGCATTTGACGGCCGCATCGAGCAGCTTTGTCGGCTCTGGCGGCTGCTGCTGCGCTGCCTCCTGTTGCTTCTCGTGCGTTTCGTCGCTTTTGATGCTCTGCTTTTTGTCCTTATCCTTGCAGGCAAATTGATTGTTTGCCAAATTGCGCCACTTTACGGTCTTATCCTCGGCCAGGTCCAGATTGAGAAGCGTTCCGCCCTCGGCGGTGCTGGTGGCGCAGTCGCTATTAAATGTGCTCGACATGCTGTTCAACAGCTCTGCGACGTCCGTCATCTTTTCTTTGTTTTTGTTTTTAAAATTTTGATTTTGGGTGTTTGCTTGTTTTGTTTCTACTCTTTTTAATTTGCTATTTGGCTTTGATTTTATTTTGATTTACAGTTAATTTAAGCTACGCTTGTGCTGCATATGCGCTGCTGCTGCAAATAAGCGTGTGCATAAAAAATATGGAATCAATACTTTGGTATTCACCATGACACACGGCATCGATACCAGAACGGAACAGAACGTGGGGAGGTCAAATAGGGGGAGGGCTAAGCTAATGACGATAAGATTTCCACTCATAGCAATTTATTTAACTCTGCATTTTCATACTAAAAACAAAATGAAAAGGCAGCGGCAGCGCAGCCACTGCCAGCGACGACAATAATCAGCAGGCGCTGAGAAAGAGTGCAGAGCAATAACAAACACAATATTATAAACTTGTCTGCCGACAGGAAGCGCCTTTCTACGAGCAGGGGCAGCGAGCCCACCTTCCGTAGGCACAGGGGGACACGCACACCGAGGCATTCAACGCTCGCACACATACAAACGCACGAAGTAGCGGCGCGGTTGGAGTTGACGTTGACACCACGAGACGACGTTGACTGCGACTGCGGCTACAAAAGCGTCGCTTCAACTTTGCATTAATTTTATATATATAAAGCAAATAATTTCAATTGCAATTTACAGTTTTCACGTAATTATAATTTATTAATTATTTATCCACGATAAAAGCGAAAACGTAAAAAAAACCTCTGCCTGCCTTCAACCGATTCTGATTAGCTCACAACATGCTGTTTTTTTTTTTTTTTTTGTATGAATATGGCCAGCTTTATTGTTGTTTTACTTTTCGTCTTGCTCTTCGTCTTCTTGGTGCTGGCTGCTAAACGACCGTGGTGGCTGCTCTGCCGCTGCTCTGCTACTAATAGTGCTGCTGCTGCCGCTGCTGCTGCTGCTATAGCAGTTATACATAGCTGTATTTGTATTTGTAATTACTTATAATTGTTGATTTTGATTTTTCTTTTCAGCTGAGTTTTTTTTAATGATTCCTCACAAAAGCTAGATGCAAATTGTGTACTGTGTTGCTTTCTGATAGCTATTTAAATTCGTCATTTTCACACCCAAGCACGATGCGAAGTCAATTTACACTCACACAAAACGCTGCATATTTCTGCAGTTTTCGATTTGTACAATATAGGTAATTATGATTTAACTAATATTTGTTGTTACAAAAGAAAATAAAGAGAAACACACACACACGCACGCACACTTTGTTTTTGTCCGTCCGCCGTTATACGCCGCCAGCACATACTCTGTGCGTAACTCTCGGCGAACCGTCTTCGTCGTAGTCTCGCACGCTCTCACTGCTGCTGTTGTTTGTCTGTTGATAGCTATGTACGTTTACATGATTTTGGTATTACGTTTTTTGGTATTTCTATTTGGTATTTCGGCATTGAATTATTGTCTACAGAATAAGTATTGCCACAAATAACCTTTAATGGGTACAAATGCATCGATTCTTATTCAAACTGCAATTAATAGCATACCTGTTAACTTTTACGATGGAAATCTTTAATTATACACGAAGTACCAATTATCGAAAATTATTCGAGCAGTTCATAGCCAACATAAGTATACAAGGACAACATATTTTTTATAAAAAAAAACATAGATTTAGACTTACGAACATATTTTACATATTCCGCATTATATGTAAGCCATTTTTAAAAGCGCGCAGTTGATGTTTTGCCCATTTCAGTATATTACGGTTTGCAAATACGTTCTCTCTGTCTGGTATTTTCTTAGCAGTTCTTAATTAATATTTGGAGTGTTAACAGTGGCTTACCAGCACCTCAATATCCGGTTATATTTTTGAAACCAATCGTTGCATTTTTGTTTTTTATTTTAAACAATGTAAGTGTGATAAATTATCAATAATAACTCAATAGTAAAATTTAATATATAAATAATATATGAAAGATTTATGAATAGCCATTATTTTCCGCATATAACTCATCACTGTTATTCATATGTGACATGTTAAAATTTCAAAATGTCATTTTACAGTTAACAGAATAAAGAACGAAGCGTCTGTTCGCTCCGGAAGAACTAGTTTAGTGTCACTTTAAATGTTCACTTTTTGACAGTTGAGCGCTTAAAGCATATTCTTGTGAAAAAAAGTAAGCGGATGAATATTCCACATTATTTCATATTATAAATAGTCAAAAATATATAATTCTCTGCTTTTATAGTGTTTCAAATGTGGTTCTCCTCCTATTGGTCATTATTGATCATTTTTATTGGCTTGATTGTTGCTTACGAGGTGATAGTGCTCGCCTACCAGTTGGTGTGCAACTGGCGCAAGGAAAGCAAGGAGGAGGTGCTCCTATTCAATGAGCTGGGTGGCCAATGTGCCAAAGAACACATTAAGGCAAGCCTAAAGGGTCAAGTATTCCATTGTTCAAATAAATATTGCACTCACGTTCACGTCAATCGTATTATCGACCATTTGAACAACGCCAAATTCAGCATTGACCTAGCCATGTATACCCTCGGCTCTATTGAAATAACTAACGCTTTGAAGAACGCCTTGCTCCGCAATGTTGCCGTACGTATCATAGTCAGTCAACGCCGCGAAGCATTCAACTATTTGCTCCTGGATCTCATGGATTGGGGTGCCCAAGTACGTAGCCAGAGTTCCATTAACTTTATGCAACACCGCTTCTGTGTGATCGATGAGCAAGGCCGTGTCGATCGTCTTTGGTATAAGAAAAACATTAACGGACCAAAAAGCAACAGCGTGTTCATGAATGGCTCCCTCAACTGGACTGATAGCGGCACCGGTGGCAACTGGGAAAATGTCATCATCACCACCAATGAACAACTGGCCAAAGCATTCCAAGCAGAATTCGATCGCATGTGGAAGGTGTTCTCCACTCAAACT